TGAAATCTATCAAATATTTGATCTGATCAATTCCTTACGGTGTTCAATATGCATTTCGTTTACTAATTGGTAGCATTTGATAAAGGTCAGCTTCTTTTAATCATTCCTTAAAAATCATTTAAATTACGTAACCGAACGCAGCTTTACCGAGAATAGCACGAGCTAAGCAGCTCCTGTCGTCGAAGAAGCTTCGGTTGACCCGGCACGTGATTTTCTTTGCGCCACTGTCTGGCTTCAGCAGACAAGGTCACTTTTTGGCGCGCCGGTCGCCGGCGCGTTTTTGCCGCACGTCTGGCGCGGTTTTTGCGTGCCGTACTTATTGCGCGGGGGGCGGTGCAGCGTTGCGTTATTGATTGTCGGTCCGACCAATGGTCAATGACGACTCGTCTGTAGCGGTAATGACGTAGGCACAGACGGCAGACGAGCCTGCCCCAGACTCCGTCCGGGCTCAGAGGAGGTCGGCTGACGTATTCCACATTGATTGGATGACATGATGCGGATGCGTGCAGTGGATGATTTCGCAATTGGAGAATATTTCCTGGCCCGTTATGGTCATTATGTATTATCAAAAATATTATAGCATAGCATGATTCTCGGAATGAAGCTATTTTGCTGCAGACGTCCACCTAATCCTGGACGGTCCTTCGTAGGTATGTGTAAGAGCTTACCATGACGTGATAAAGATAGTTGCATCAATTTCTAACAAAGCAGACGAAGACACAGCACAGACGGCGAATGGAGAAAAGTTCTAACATCACAGAAGCACAGCGGCTCCCCATAAAAATGTATTATAGATCACAGAAACACTTAAACTAAACGTCAGCCTCCCTAAGCGGTCTTGGTGACCTCGACTGCCATGTAAAACGAGTTTATATTGTTTTAAGGAGAATCGTAGTAAATATCAAATCAAAAGTAACAGCATGAAAGAGCGAGCCCTGGAGTGTATCGCATGAACCAGCCGTGACCTCTCTAGCGGGTACACATATATCACAATCACAAAAATAATGCTGAGCTATTGCTGAGCTAATGCTGAGCCACTCATCAGAGCTTAGACCCCAGTCGACGCTGAATTCGACACATCATTTTTCTACTGATATCAGACTTTTGATGCGCTAAACCCGTCAGTATTTAGCAGTCGGTAGGGAGACCTGAAGTTTACAGTGCTCTGGTCAAAAGGAGCACACTGGGGTAGCAAAGTCACCGTTCCGTGCTTCTATCCTCAGGATACTGAAATCCTTCTCCTCCACGCCGCAACCCCCTTCCGGGCTGGACAGGCAACTTTATCTCATGCGGGCTGCTCCCTTGGAGCGGCACCGCTGCTCCCGAGGGAGCGCACCCCGTAGCCGGGTGCAGTGAGTGCCTTGGGGCTGGGTGGCCTGTCCTCTGGACGGGCTCAGCCCCGGCGACTCACTAGGGTGTCTGCCCAGACCAATGTCTCCCCCTATATCCTATTATCCTCCCGGCTCTGAAATGGTCTAATTGGACCGAAAGGGCCTAACCCAACAAAACAAAAAACAAAACAAACAAAGTAGCAAAGTGCTTTGTTCAGAAGAGTATTTATTATGTGTTCCGCAATTCGTCAAGTGGGAGCGTCCCGGGATGGACCCGATGAGTAGGTAATAACGATCTGCCCAGTGCGGTTGGGAGCATCCCTCGTAGGAGCACTCAGTGCTCCTCCCAGCAGTGGAATTTCACAGTGTTCCACTCCGCATTAACCCCGCAAGTGAGCACGGTAGAAAGGGTAGAAGGGGAAGCGACTGGCGCCGCGCCGCTCTCCCAGTGAACCTTCACGGACAGAGCCCCGCAGCTGCCGGAATCAGACCAGCCAGACTTCCTAGTTCCTAAAGTATGCCTTCCCTGCCCTACCTCGCTCCAACTCTGCTACCTGAGTGGCGGTTCCTGCTTCCCATGGGTCGGGCTTCCTGCTTCCCAGCAGCTCCGTCCCCTTCCCTCCCCCTACCCTGGTCCCTGACCCAGCGCGGCCAATACCCAGTCACGGCAACGGCTAGGCTGCCATAGCTCCCAGCCAAGCTTCGAGCCGGCCGCGGCTGGCGGCTTTGTTTTGTTCCCAAGGCCCGCCCACCGCCGGCGAGTGTTGTTCTATTCCGACCCGCCCCCGTCCTCCCTCCCTCTACCCTCCTCCTTCGCTCTCTCCTGCCAGTTCAGGTTCAAGGTCGGAGCAAGGACGCTCCGCCAAAAATCAATGCTGCTCGGCCGCGGGCTGCCAGCCTGCCTCCCCCCCCCTCCCCCGCTCCCCGTCCTAGGAGAGCCTGGGCCAAAACGCCTCGAGCGCTACCCTGAGAGGCAGCCGTGGGCGGGCGCTTTTTTATCTACATCTTCTGTGCGGTGTCGGGACGCGCCGTCGGGCCTGAGCGACAGGCCATCTCCGCTACCCCGCCGGGGCTACCGGGACTGCCGGGGCCGGGGCCGGGGCGGTAGCCGTGCAGTGCTAGCGGCCTGAGGCCACATTGATCGTCGGCTGAGGTCGGTGGACCCGCGCCCAGCCAGCAGCCAGCCTTGTTTACCAGTTGGTGCATCGGGGCCACGGACGCAGAAGGAAGGAGGGGAGAGGGAGAGAGAGAGAGAGAGAGAGAGAGGGGGGAGAGGGGAAAGGAGGGAGAGAGCTAACAAAAGAATGGAAGCATGGAATAAGTGAAAGCCGTTTTCAGATTTCGCGGCACGATTCCTCTTCCAGGACACAAATTCATCAAGCAAACGACCTTTGTTGCTTGGCGCAGATACAGCGTAAACAAAAGGCTAGAGCCTGAAAAAGGTTGACGAAGAAAACTTTGCTACATAGGCAGCACTGCACTCATACCGTGGAGCCTTACAAAAGTTATGATGCTTGGAGGCTATTAGAGCCTTGAACTAAACGTTCCTCGGGAAAGAAGCATACAAATAAAGGCATGTAGGACTTCTCATAGAGATCTATGCTTTATGATACGGGAGAGCTGGTAAAGCCATGCATGCTTTGGCCCTTATTGGCGTTGGGCTGTGAGAACAGTTTTTAATCGGACTAGTAATCGTTATGTGCCGCAGAATGGTGCGAAAGTGATGCGACAATTAGTCTCATCTCCGCTGATAACGGCGCCAAGGCGGTAATAATGTCAGAATCGGCAGGATTACGAAACACTAATAACGGTAAAATAACACCTGAGGGGATACTGTTTCATATAAAGCCTATATCATACCGTGCATGTGGTTTGCGGTCACGAATTTCTACCTCGGCGCACGATGCAGTAGCGGAGCGTTGGTTAGAGCATTGCGGTACAGCCTACTTTACGGCGTATACTACCAGCGCCATCTATGAGTGGTGAAATGAACGTGCTGCAGACAGCACAGAACAGAGCAACTGGAAAAACCTCCGATGTCTCTTATCCTAGCCTAGCTTTGTATAAGCTAGTCTTATACGATTTATAACCCCGTCGAGTAATCAACTACTGGCAGAGAACTATTGGTAAAGTACTAATGAAAACCGTCCGCCCGTTGGGAGAGGCTTGTACCCAGTCTCGCTATCTCGTGACCAGGCATTGGTAGGATTGTGATTGCAGGATTGCAAAATCCTGATTGCATTCCTTTTTGGTGGATTGCACCTGGATTTGAAATCCAATAAAAAAACAGGATTTGATTGCGGATTGGATTGCATCATACTTCCAATTTTTGCAATCCAAATTTGCAATCCTTTTGCAATCCTTGAGGGCGAGTTTTAAAAATATAAAACACTGGTTGGGTAGAGGTTTAAATGTGGGGGTGTTTGAGGCAAAAAATATTTCCCATAAAATACCTGTGCCTTAGATAGGAATTACTCGCAAGACTAGGTACTAGAAATGGGTGATTTGGGGATGGAGGCACGGCCCTCCTCCCCAAATCACCACGGAGGTATGCCCCCCTCCCTCCCCCAGATCCACTAGTGCACATAATAATACAACAGGATTGCAAAAAAGGATTGCGGATTTCACAATCCAAATGAAAAAAGGGGATTGCGGGTAGGAATGCAATCCACTTCGGCACTAGGAATGTGGATTGGGAATGCAATCCTTTCAAAAAGGATTTTACCGATGCCTGCTCGTGACCACCCCATTCCCTGCCTGTGTCGCTTCGAAGCCTTTGAACCCACGGCTTTACAAGTACAGACACCGAGTCCCATCACGGACGAATTAACTTACGAGACACTTCGCAACTTGTCACAAACTTTCACGAAGTTTGTGATCCTAACTCGTGACAGGTACAGCTAGCGCTACTAGCGGCGGAAAGAGTAACTAGCGTTTCTCCGAAGCTGACGTGTCGTAGATGGCGCGACGATAGCGGAAAAGTTCGAGACGTCCCACTCCAATGCCAAGGCCAGTTGAGGACCGCCATTCGGCGATTCTAAATAAAGATGTGGAGGTCACGTTCGTTGCAAGATTACGACAACGAAAAGGCGGCGGCCTCTGCTCAGCATTCAGGAATTTCGTTCACCAAGGGGTTGAGAATATAACTGCTGTTAATCCTACAGCACGACGGTGGCTTTTCTGACCTTGATCGCCAGTCGACCTCTGGGAGGGGGAGGGGCCTGGGGGACCGGGTCGGTCGATAACGACAGAGGCCCGACGCTGCTGCTCCGACAGAGGATATGAAGACGACAGAGGGGGAGATGGGCGCCGGTGCTCCCAAATGACCCCAGCGGCAGACGGACGAAAAACATCGACGTCGCTCCCCTTTCCCTCAAGGTTCCCCACCGAAGATCCTGAAGTACAGCCCACCGCTAAAGTAATGTGCGGTTTTACCAATATCAACGGATGGCTTTGACCGGCGATTTTTTAATGCAGGGTGGTCGAAAAGAAGACGTCAATAGACAAAATTGCAGCTGCGAGGGTGACAATACATGTAAGCTACATGCAAAGTTTCATTTTAGTCTGGCTAATCGTTCCTAAGCTTCAGAAGCAGAACATACCCATGACTGAAACCGCACATCACTTCTGCTGTGGACTGTACAAAACAAAGAACGGAACACAGACGACTTTTGGCATAATGCATTTATTTAGAAGCTTTATACGCTCATAAACTAATATATGGAGAAAACGAGCAATATTAACAGATAGAGAAAACGCGCTATCTAAGAGTAACTGAGGGGTTTTGAATTACTTCCTATGCTAGTACACACTCTAAACTACCGCAAAATTTACACAATAACGCATTTAAACAAACCGAATTTCGTAGTTCCTCGTGCGCATATTCATATTCTGCACAGCCCTCCATTTTCCAAATCCATACACGGCCGGTGAATACTTTCCCCGCGACGCGGACACGGTGCGCTAAATCGCGTGCATTTCAAACCACACACACAATTCACTAGACAGCAAATGCCAAGCGAAACAAACAAATCCCGAGCCCCCGACTATTCAGGCGCGAGACATCGCACGCGAATCTCGGGAGTACAAGTCCAGCTGGGGTTTTCATCGCTGATAATTACTTCAGAGCGGAGGGTAGCAACACCGGTCAAATCCTCACCTCTCCACAGAAGCCGTGGCACAAACGAAACGAGAACACGGACTCGTCCAAGAAAACTCCCACTCGCGAAGAAGGGCCTTGCGAAGAACCATTCTCCAGTGTAGGAGAGAAGAGGTTAGCGACACTGGCTTCGCAGCGCATACCGTACGGCTATTCACCGGCAGACCGTTGCGAAAGATTTCACATGGCCAAGATTAAACGGCAGAAAAAAACTGACGGGAGATAGGAAGCGACAAATACGCTGGAGATAGTCAGAAGAATATCAAGCCATACATGCAAGACCTCATGTATGGCTTGATACATGTATGTATCTGCAAGACCTCACATCTCCACCATATGCATTATTTCTACAATCTTCATACGGCAACGGTACTTGAAGCGAATCGACGTACAATCGACACACATGATCCAATTTTATCGAGCGCTCCGACCGCGTTCGAGCATTCGCACTGCCCCCTTGGCGTTGATTGAAACCCTGGGTAAGTCTGATGACGTATCCAAATACAAGAAGTCCCATGGCGTATCCCGAGACTTGACTTTTGTCAGATCAAGTCTGATGAAAAACTTATTGACGGATACTTCTTGATAGCGTATTTGATACGAATACGCCACCAGACCATCCCCAGGGTCGCCCCAGACGCGCGAGGGGACAGTGAATTTTGGCAGGGCGGACGTGGCAGACAGACGAGTCCATTATGTGAGACGCGGCCGCTTGTGGGTGGGCGAGTCCATTATCACATCGCTGGGGGAGGACGGTGTGGCCGGCCGCTTCACTGTAAACGAACGGAAATAACATTAAACTGGGCGTAGCTGTGGTTAAAAATGAGCATCCATTGGCCGGGAAAAACGTCAATAACTGCCGGGGAAGCAAACGAATGGCATACTACCTCATAAAACAATAAAACCATATCAAAACCTTAGGTAGTCAACGAAAAAACCTATCAAATGAACAATGAATTACATCATTTTTTTCTTTTCACAAAACTTGTAGCCATAAGCGCGCGATTGATGCGAGCGAGGCATATTTGCTGGCCAGCGGCAGCCATCGACACTGCTTCTCTTCTACCAATGTCCAGCACTCTCTCTTCAGCAGCTAAGCTCATCATTTATCAATAGAATCCATTCCCACGATGGATTTCGTTCTAACAATGTCTAGAATGAGGTCGACCGCCAATGTCACCCATGACATATTTCAAGCCGTACCATTGAATATTCAGTCTGATTAGTTCGAACTCAACGATCTCGGCCAAACGGCTTATAAAGAAAATTAATGGCAGCTTAATGACTGGCGTGAACAGAATATGTGGCAGAATTTTACGTAATAGCTCGAGGGGCAAGAGACATAGCATCGATAGAGAAATAATGGGACGAAATGAAGCGAAAGATAGAAGAAAAAAAGACTAAGGAGACAAAAATGAAGCTAATAGAGACAGATACAAAAGCAGTGAGAAAGAGAAAAAGTAAAAATAAAGTATCGAGGAATTGACACACAATAAGAGAACGAGAGAGATAGAAAGAATAAATGAAAAGAGAGCGAGAGAGGGAGAGGGAGAGAGAGAGAGAGAGAGAGAGAGAGAGAGAGAGAGAGAGAGAGGGAGAGAGAGAGAGAGAGAGAGAGAGAGAGAGAGAGAGAGAAGCCCAGTCCCTGAGAATTTCACGCAACGCTCCCTTTCCGGTGCAGCAAAATAATGCAGGTGGCCCCTTTCCCAGCCGAATCTGCGGATCTGACGAAGCTCTCAGCATCAGCAAATAAAGACACCTAACTGCCTCTCACTGTCCGCCAGTTGGAACCGGTTCAAACCAGTTCAAAACCACGACTTACATGAAGTCAAGGATGCGCAAGCTCGTAGGGGGTAAATGTATACTAAAGTTATGATGACGCACCACTAGATATTCTATTGCCCCAGGCTAATGGTCGGTCATGGGATAAATTACATTGTAATGAGCTAAATACAACGCATCGATGTTTCTAAAGCATCAAATTAGTATCGAAATCGTGACCCTTTGAGTCCCCTCCAAACGGGCAAGAGGACCAGGCTGCCGTCCAAAGGCAAAACCGCATATGTCGGGTCAGGTCATGACCCGACATATGCGTTTTTGCCTTTGGATGGCAGCAGGGGCAGGAATACTCATGCTCACCCGAGTCTGAGGGCGCCGGGGAGCCGCTCAGTCCCCTCCTGGCCGGTGAGTGGCGCCTTCTGGCCGTGCCGGTGGAGGCAGCGGCCGGGGAGGGCGGGCGGAAACTGACCGCCGACATGGCTCCCTGAAGACCTGAGAGGGAATAGTATTGTCAGAGGAGGAAACATTGCATGGCAATGCTACATTTCAATAGAAGGCTGGGGATCAGTGATATGACACATAGTATGCTTGATAACCACAGAAAAGTGATAAAGAATGACGACCACGCAAACCTTTTACGTGTTTATTGATTTACAGATGAATGTATCTAAACTAATTTGAGTCATCGAGCACAATTGATATCGAATTTTCTAAACATCCCTCGGACATCTGCCCGTCTACGAATAAATTAGTAATTCCCTTACATCTTTCAACATCTCCAAAATATCTTAAACCACTCATTCCCCATCTTCCCCCATCAACTCACTGCTGAGCGCCAGGGCATCCCTGAACGGCTGTAGACCATCACTACAGTCGTGTCCGCCGGCCGGGGCGGCGGTGACCAGTATCGAGGCACCGGCCAGCAGCGGAGAGCTGCGCTCCGAGAGCCGCGGGGAGGCGCGGTCCGATACCGACAGGTGCGGACGGGGCGACGACCTGGTGGAGAACAAAGGGTCAGAGGGGGTTAGAAGGGTCAGAGGGCTTATATGGGGTATGGTGGAAGATAAGGGCCATATGAGGGAGATCGTAGTTCGTAGTTCGTACACGGACCAAAGATGGTCAGATAGAAGTTAGATGGATTACAGGTGGCCAAGGAAAGAAGCCTTACGTCGGTGTCACGTCACGTCGGTTAACCCATTAATGCCGGAATTTTTATTTTTTGATTCTTTAGTTGTCCTTAACAAATGTTAGCCACACGGGTCCCAGTAAGAAAACTGTGCAAGCTTAAAAAAATTGTTCCATCGGTTCTCAAGTTATAAGTATGGGTCATAAATAACCCAACCGGCATTGGCATAGTCACAAATAAGGAGTTATCACGACAACCGATTTAGCTAGATACCTTATTGTGTATACTGTATAGCGGTCTCAGCCAAACAATATTAAGAGGCACTGCATTGCAATGCTTTGCAACTTCTCATTGACGAGGCCGTTGGTGCCGCTGGCAGGCCTGTGGTGCCCCTGTTAGGCCTCTGGTGCTCCAGAGGGGACACCATAGGACTGACGGACCTGTGGTGTCCCTGGAAGGACTGTGGTGCCCCTGCAGGCCCTGACAAGCCTGAGGTGCCCCTGACAGGCTTGTGGAGCCCCTGACAGGTCTGTGGTGCCATTGCTAGGTTTGTGGTGCCCTGGCAGGCCTGTGGTGCCCCTGGCGGGCCCGTGGTGCTCCTGTTAGGCCGCTGGTGCCCCTGGGTCCTGGCAGGACTCTGGTGCCCCTGACAAGCCTGAAGTGCTCCCGACAGGCCCGTGGAGCCCTTTACAAGCCCAAGGTGCACGTGCGAGGCTGGTGGTGCCCCTGTGAGGTCGATGGTGCCCCTGGCAGACCTCTGGCTGGTGCCCCTGGCAGATCTGTGGTGCCCCCTGACAGACCTGTGGTGCTCTTGCTAGGCCGATGGTGCTCCTGCAGGCCTGTGGTGCCCCTAACAAGCCTGTGGTACCCCTGACAGGCCCGTGGTGCCCCTCGGCCGGCCAAGTCGCCGGCCCGCCCCGCGTCACGGCCCCGGACAACCGGTCCGCTCATGATATCCCAACATCGCAACACTAGGCCTGTGGTGCCCCTGATAGATCGGTGGTGCCCCCGGGTCCCAGGGGAGGTCATGAGTGACCCATATGACCCCCCTCCTTTGGATCCGCCACTGTGATGTGATCACAACCCCCAAAAATAAATAATCGTATAATCATCAATTGCTTCCCTTGTATTCAACATACGAGAAAATTGACAACACTATTGCCGGCTGGGTCATTTATGACCCAAGGATATTTATCGAGGAAAAAAAGTTATCCGATGGCGACAAGAAGGGCAAAAATATACATCATGTCTTTTTCAGACAAATTTAGATGCCAGGTGGACGATCATTCAATAGATAGTAAAGTGCAAACATAACATAATATTACTTTTTGGGAAGGCGCGCCATTGCCAGTGACCGGCGGCTGTGCAGTCCCGTCGTCTTTGGCTCCAGAAACTTCAGTGGACGAGCTCACACGAGTTTTATGCGGCTCCGACGCTCGTCGCTGAACCCACAAATCCAACAAAACACACGCACAAGTTCCTCAAAGTGCCACTTGCCTCCATTTAGAAAAAATGTTAAAGGGAGATTATGACCTTTTTCCACAAAATCTGAGTTAGGACTATTTTCTGACAAAACACAACAAGTTATAATGTAAATTAAAACCATTTTGCTCAATTCGGTACCTTGCCGCAAATATCTCAACTTGAAGTCACGTTAGCGGGGAGCGCTGAAAATGACCGTTGAATAAGTACTTACATCACTTTTTGGTACTTGCATGTAATTTTGTAAAATGAGCGTATTCATTACATTTGATCTTCATCACATCTAGTTAGTTAATGGTCGTCTATAGTGCCTTCAAAAGATATTCATGGTTTGGGGGTGGTTTATGTCTAAATTTACGCAACTATTTTTCCTCTTCATCATCTGTCGCCATATGCTGCTATTTTAGTAGCAACGACTCAATTTTGAATCGGTCCCGCCGACTGCACAATAAAAGAAGATAGATACAACACTTTTGCGGCATCACTGAAAAACTTATGCAGTACTGTTATCAAAATTCTCACAACACCGTTCGACAAACCTGAAGTCTTTTTGAAATAAATATGCTTGTATTTTTCGCTTCAGGCTCTGAGGCCAAAATAATGAATTTCGTAGTCGCAATCGCAAGATTTGGCTGCGTTTCTGGTGCATGGTTCATTTGTGGCGCAAAATAATACTTGGAAACAAAGAAGAGTAGGCACTATGTACCACCGAATTAGAATCTAATTAATTCTAAACCGAATTAACTCTAATTCAAATTAGAATCCTTACAACCAAGCAACGACAAGGCGATAACATAAACAAAAACCCAAGCGTCGCTGTTTGAAACAAAAGCGCCATATACTGCGACTTTTTTATAGAGAAGGACAACGCATTTCGGTGGGTGTTACAAGTACTGCAAGTACTGCCTCTTTTTTTGCAAAAATAAAAACCTTTTTCACATACGAAAATGTGCTAGGAAATTTTCATATTTTATAGAAACTACAGTAGAAATAGTATAGATGTCGAGTAATTTTTATTTAAGAAAAAAGAAAGCTCATTATCTCCCTTTAAGATGTTGCTTTTGGGTCATATATGACCCAAGCGGCATTAATGGGTTAAGTAACGTAATAAAGGAAACTGGACGCGGGGACGACCTGGTGGAAAACATAGGGTCAGAGGGGAAGAAGGATCAGAGGGGTTACATGGGGTAAGATGGGTAAGGGAAGATGAAGGCCTTAGGTGGGAGATCACAGTAAGCAACAAAGGTCAAATGGACGTCAGTGGTGGATAACAGACGACAACCGCAATAAACCATACGTCAGGGTCATTTTGGTAAATTAGCATAATAAAGTGAACAACTTATGGGATGAGATGGAAATCGACAGGATTGGAAGATGCTGAACAAAGCAGCCGATATCTTAGGACTTAGAGCCAACCTCTTTGGGAAAACCAGGATAGTTCAGGATAAACCCAGTCAGTCAACGTGAAATGAAAGACAAAACCAAAACACGATACGATCCACCACACGTCGACCTCCTAATCGAATCCAACTACACGCGGATCCCATTCCACCCCAAACGCAGCCCATCCAAACTCCGCACACATCCCTATCACAACAGCTATCCCCCGGTACCATCCCAGTCCAATGCCCCTCACCTGTGCGAGTGTCGACTAGCAGTGACGGCCGCCGGCGGTGGCGGCTTCCCGCTGAGGAAGGCCAGCAGATCCTCACGCCGAATCAGCCGGCGCCGGCGCAGGAAGGCCACCAGTTCCCGGGTCCTGCGCTGTTGTCCGTGCTGGATGCCGAGCTCCGTGCAGCGGCGGATGCTGTCCACCGACTCTGCGATCGTAGAAACCACGGAGAATTTGGGGTTAGAAATCGGAACCAAGAAACAGTTAGACAATATGGGTGTCCGTCAAAATTCGTGGAGATATGCTGTCCCACGATTTCAATAATGCCTCACGTCAATAAATGAGCTTATTTCAGCGTAACACGGGTCCGTACGCGAGATTTGGACATTTGATTGAAGAAAAAAATCATTGAAAAGGCAACAGCAAAGTGGCAAAAAAAAAATTGGACATCTTTTCAAAACCGTGCTTTTGTGTGCCTATGTATTTTAGCTTGTCCCACAACCTGCGAAAAAAATCTACAGAGCTGCTGTGTAGTTATTTTAAGAGATAATTGAGCGCGAGGGAGCGTTGTGAATAGCAAAAACATTGAAATTTTTCTTCATGGTTCTTATTTTTTGGTTATACAATTTAGCAAAACTGCACAACGCAAAAACGTCTGTCCCACGGTTTTTGGCAAACTTTTTTCTGGGTCACGTTTGTTTCTGGGTCACGGTACTTAGCTCCTCATTCAAAGCATTACGGACCGGGTAAGCAGGGTCTGCAGACTTGCATATGGTCCTATCCCGCGAAGGCGCAGAGAGCGGGGGCGGAAACTGAAAACTGTCAGTTGGGCTGGGCGAACCCAGGGGAAATCATCTCCTGCGTGCCATAAGATTTCTTTATTCTGGGTCACACGCCCTTGTGGCTTGTGGCTGGTAAGTGTCGAAAAGAATCACAGTGTCGTGTTGCTGCGTGCTCAGGTACTCCAGATAAGATGTACTTGGAGATAAGTATTCGATAACAAACTTGCCATATTCAGAAAACTGTAAAAACCATTCCCCTGGGTCACGCATTTTTTTCTTCTGGGTCACGAATTTAAGCGTGACCCAGGAAAAAAATCGTGACCCAGAAGAGAAATTCTGCCCACCTACATCATCAAGACATGCAATTCTTTCCGCCTACGTGTGGAGAAGGTCATTGCCGATAAGGGGGTTATATCGCGCATGAGGTGAGTGAACGTATCTGGTTTGATAATGCGTGACCCAGAATAAAATTTTATTTTTTTCTGGGTCACGGACCATTTTACGCGCATGCGCAATGGCATTTTTGAATAATTTCAACTGTGAACAGCCTAGGGTGCATGGTTTATGAAAAGGTAATGATTTCTAGGAAATCAGTTGTGGGACAAATATCGACCCAAATCTCCACGAATTTTGACGGGTACCCATATACTGTTAAAAACAAAGCCATATGAAATGACAACCAAGGGCCTTATAGCACCAGCTTAACTATAAAAAACAGTATAATGGCTCACAGTTAGAGCCATTATACTTTGAAGCCTCATTTATCTCAATGGGAAGAAATTAATCTTAATCAAGAGAATTTAATGAATTTCAGTTTGGATTTTCACATGCATTGCCACAAGATTTGCTAATGCCTAGCACCCACAAAATGAAACAAACTCTGAGACCTTGTAAGAATCCAATCATAGTTGCTATAGACACAAGTTGTCTCATTCACCTTTGTAGAGGGCAGTGACTGAGCCTGCGGCAGTCTGAAATGGCATCCAGCGGGTGTTCCTCTCCCCCTGGGCACTGCCACCTGAAATCAAAAGATATTCAAATGGGCATCAACCTGCAGTTTGTTGTATAGCAGGAATATTGAGAGACTGTCAGAATAGGGAGGTGGAAAGGCAAAGGGCATGTTCCTTTTTTTTGTTTTCAAGCAAGATATGGGACCTGTGGAAGATGCCAGTAAAAACACTGGGTTTCCCAATCTGTTCAACATATTAAGAATGATGCAGGTAATCACCAGTATATTTCAGATCTTTCATTTAATTGTAACAAGGATTCAATGCATTTAATCACTGTTTATACCCAAAAATGATACATTTGCCACTCACGGCAAGCAAGGTGCTTGGAAAGCGATCAATGGGAAAATGTATCGCTATTATACCTTTATGAAGTTGTGCAATGCATGTGGCTGAGTTTTGAAATAGATGCCACAATTTCTGATTCACTAGATCCCTTTCTTGCTGCAACTGTGACTCATAGCTGGGCTGATTTTCGAACTCCTCGAAACACTGATTTTCCCATCTCCAAAGGTCGCCGTAAGGGTCTTCTTCCAAGCTCTTGTCTTCAGACATGTGAAAATATATTCAGCAAGGAAAAACAACTAAGTACTGGCAAAATAATGCCTGAAAACCAACCAAAACAAAACAGACAAACGCTGAAGACCTTGCTGAAGACCTCGCCCCACGAAAACACGAGAGCATGCTTTGATCAGAGCTGCCAGATGTATGGAAGAGTTATTGAGATTTGATAAATATATGCAGGTTTTCTAAAAATATCGCAATTAACCTTAAGATAATGAGGAAAATAGGGAAATCGAAAATTTATCATCCCTGCTTGTTGGAAAGTTACAGCTTTTGTACTCTCCTTGAATCAATGGACTCATATCTGATGTTTCTTAATGCAGAAACATCAATTCGAAATATTTTCAGGGGCTCTTGGTGTCTTACTTTTTTCGAGCCTATTCAGAGAATTGCGAAATTCTATGCGGAAATTCCATAGGGAAATTCCCTATCCCTATAACCTGGCAGTCTGGTTTAGGAAGTGGCTACTAAATGAAAACTGTTAACCATTCAGCCGAATTCAGGCAACTAACACTTAACAGTATTCTGAACTCTGACCATCAATCGCATGCGCTTCGTCAGCGGTAGCAGAATGTTTCTCAGGCGCCATCGATCGATTTTCTCTGTATGCAAATACCCCTAGCTTCATCCCTTTCAGGGCCCAATCCCTTTCTACCTATATACCTAATTACCTAGACACGTGAAATCATGCGGTGTTTAAGTTTGAAGATTGTAACCCTGCTATCATCTTCAAACGAATATGACTTCACTTTCGCAGCTAAGTACTTGCCAGTGTGCGCGTTGCTTGTCCAGCAAGGCAGAGCGAGAGCTGTTAAGCAGCTACTTAGCTAGACCTCCAAAATATTTCAACCAAAACGCGTTCGGTTCTTCCCATCAGATGACCAAACCGATTGCATTCACCAACTCCACAGGTTGACGAGCCATTGTATTTCTCAGCGAGAGATAAATCCACCTCTCCAGCACATACATATCGAAAAAAGCACGACTCATAGTCGATAGCATCACCTGAACAAGAACAACAGCGGCGAGATATCAGTTAGAGCAGGAATCACAAACGAGTAGCATTGCACTTGGGGACAAGTAAGCAGAAGTAAGCAGATACACTAAGCGGGATAACAAAGTGCTAAAACATATGAAAAGCATACAATGATCCAAAATGAGTGAGTACGTTCAAAAGCAACAGCTGGACAAGTTACGAATGTGCTAAAAACATCAAAACAAAAATAGTGTTTGGCACGTATAAAAGCTCCCTAAACGAAAAAAAAAAACAGTGGAAGCAATGTGTAAAAAGCACAACGCATCGAACAACCGTAAGCGATCGATTTGGTAGAAATGCGTCGTTCTCACGTACCCCGGCGCAACATCCATGACAGCCATACAAACGCGTAGCCCACAAAATGAGTCAAACGATTCCGAGTAACAAAACACCTCTGGCACCAAACCACAAGTGATACGCGACAAAGGTCACGCATTCTCTAAATTGGCGGTGGGCGAGACAAGGATAATCTCATCAAAACAGTAAAATCCGGCAGCGGTTCGGATGTGGCATCATCTACACATTCCAAACACGACCTGAACTTCACGCATCCATCACTAGGTGGCAGCACTGGCGTCTCGCACTGGCCGAAACGAAGCACCAACGAGGGGAGGGGCGGGGACGGGAAGAAATAATCGTAGGGGAGTGGCATGGACGGGATTAGGCTGGGGAGGGGCACATGGGGAGAGGGGAAAGGGAGTGAGAGTAGAGAGCCGTGGCGGTACAAGCGAGACCAACGATAGTTTGTGCGTGGCAGAGAACATTCTCCATCAGCTCCAACGATCATTCGTTCAGTGGCCATCCAAGTCACCCTCGAGCCTCACGGCATCGTCCAGCAGCCATCATCACCTGTGCGTCACTCTCATCACACCAATTTTCACTCACCAGATACTGAGCTGTGCTGGCGTGTCCGTCACCAGGCTCTCACCTCTCTCACTCAGTTCACCCTCACGCTCTCACCCTCTCACACATCTGTTGTCCTGATACTGTGCGAGACCAGGTCCCCTGCGCCCAGCTCGGCAGCCGAGGCGAGGTCACCGAGCGGAATAACTACCACGTGAGGTTCCCCCCGTCCGCCGGCCGCCCCTCCCACCGCCACAGTCGCAGCCGCTACCGCCTCTTCAGCCTCAGAGTCCTCCCTCGCTGCCGAGGCTGCTGTAGCCACTGCCGTCGCCGCTGCCGCAGACGCAGACGAAGACGATGCCGAATCATCACCTTCCCCTTCCCTTCTCACTTGCGCTTCGGCCCCTCGAGATGTCCCCGCATTTCCTTCATTCTCTGCATGCGTTTGCCCAGTGGGTTCGGCTCCTTCCAGAGCAGCAAACATTGCGGCAGACAGGGGTCCATCGGCTGCTACGGGATCATCCGTATCTCTGTTGTACACGATGGCGGCGATTCGAGCTGGATGTGGAAGAGGCAGTGGGATCTGTAGCTTCTCTGCTGTGAAGGGCGTGTGGCGGTGCCGCTTCCAGGGCTGCAGCTGCTGCCGTCTGGTGGACGAGAGGAGAAACTGTCAGTGGCGTGGGTGGTGAGGGCATACGCTTATCAGCTCATCAGGTTATAATGAGGAGGTGAGTGAGGCTTAAGGATGTGGCGTTTGGGGTTGGGGTGGGCTAGAGTAAGTATGACGTAATGTGCAGTTGCGTCATCAATCATCAATGAAGGGAAGTCAAGGCACAAGACATTCCAAGCAGACTAGTCACACCGCATTTTAGGCTCGCCAAGATCCATTGACAAATTTAATGATTGCAGGAGACAGGCGGTAACAATGCAGCATTCCCACACTTTATAACAAAAGCCTTCAACCCCCACATGACTGCCGTCCTTTCTCTTATTATCATCCCCCTCCCTCCTTTCCCCCGGTAACATACGTGCTTCTCCGCGACTGCGACCCCGTCTGTCTCTGTCTGCCGACCGGCGAGAAACAGCTGACGTCCAGAGACGGCGGCGCCACCTGGATGTTTTTGGCCGTCTGCACTGCCAGCACCGGCGGCGGATCGGAGGCGGCGGCGGATCGCAGTAGCTCCGTGTACCGGCTGAGGTTTACTCGGTGAACCTGGGGGTGTGGCGGAGTCAGGGTGGGATTCTTGGTGAGCAAACATAGAGGTCATCATCGGGTTCTTGGCTATGGGTCAGAGTCAGACAAGTCAGACAAGGTAGAAGGTCAAGACAAGAAACCAGCGCGATGGGAAAAGTAGTTTGGAAATAATGCCACCCACACACGGGCTATCGCGCAGAGAAAATCATGCAGAGGATATCGTTCTAAGTAGGAAGTTATTCACCTTTCAGCCCTCAATTTTCAGCCCCACTCCCATTATCCACTTCCCTCCTCTCAAAACTCCACCCCTCTTACCTCGAGGTAAAACCTCGTATCGCTCTCCTCCATCGGAGTCAGCACCTCCTGTGAGAACACCTCGGTGAGCAGGAGAGCGCAGAGGGCCGGCCAGTCGGCCGGGGCCAGACCGCGTCCCTCCCAGAACTCAGCACCACCCGACGGGAGTCGGGAGAGCACGTGATGCGGGTAGAACTGCTCCAGCAGGCGCGCGCCCGCCACCAGACACAGCTGCGGGAGGGGTATCAGGACGAATCAGAATTGGCGTGCACTGGTCCTCAGACAGAAGCGCAAAAAGAGGACAGCGGTCGAACGGTCCCTGACCGCTGTACTCTTTCTGCTGTTTCTCCTCCTCCTTCTAGCTCTGCGCTCTTTCTGATGCCAGAACTCACGAAGTCGGGAGGATAAAAATGCTTAGGGTCCGAACTGGAGTCAGACAGATCAACTGGATAAATATTGTGATGTCAAATTCGGAGAGCTAGAACTGGGCGGTTTAAGCAGTGACTATCCGGCTGGGGCCCATGACACTGTAGTAAGACAGTCGTAGCAGCCACACAGCACAGAATGTGAGAACGCTGCATACCTTCAGGTCCCTGGGTGTCATTTTGACCTTCTTCCTCTGAGTAGGAGTCAGACCGGTCTGTAGGTCATGCAATCGCTTATCTATCCGCTCCTGAAGGAAAGAAAGGGAAATACGTTAGCATGGTTCCGCGATGAAATAATAACGGAATCCTTAATCATCCCATTTACCTACTCAGCTAGTCAGAACTTCTTTGTAAAAAATACAAGTCAAACAATCAAGAGTTAAACAACAAATAAATATGGTCAAGCGTTATCGCATGAAATATGTAACTGTACTCTAATTTGCTCATGTTGGCTTATTTGCGTGATAGTCAACGAAAAAAAAAAACTTTCCTATTTAATGTGCAAAGCAAAAAAAAAAAACTTACCTGCAGCGTATTGGTGAGCTGTTGTGCCTCGGCGTGTAGCTGCCCGTAGACTCCGTCCCTACAGAGCTGTACCGAGAACGGCGTCAGCAGACGCTGTACGAACTGTCCAAACGCCTGCTGCGGCTGCTGGATGCGTCTCTCGGTCTGCTGCTGGAAGGACAGGAGTTCGTCCGCTTCCAGACGGGCCTCCAGGGCGGCCAGCGCCTGCTCCGGACGGATCTGGAACAGGGCATGAGAGTGACTAGAGGGTCAGCGGAGATGGGCAGAAAGAACAACCCCATTGTTAAAAAACGAGGGAGTGGATTGGTTGGCTCTCCTATCTCAGTGTTTAGGCTATTCCGATAATTTCCGGCCAGCGGAGTTATAGGTATTAGGTGTAATGGTAGATAAAGTGTCACTAGCCCAAGTTCAATGACACTAGTCTTCGTTTGCACAGTGCACACACTAGTCCTCACATATTCCCAGTACCCCTATCAGTAATCCTCACACACTGTCAATTAAAGTATAGTCCTCACTTGGAGACAGTTATCTCCTGACACGAATCCTCACCAGAAGACGTCCAACCTCATGTAACTACAGACATTTAAGTCTTAGCTCTCACCTGCAGACAGTAGTCTGACGACAGACCGGGCCCGTGCACTCGCGTCACCAGCAGACTATCCGAGCACGGAATGCGGCCCTTTCGACTGATGATCAGGTCATAGGCGGTCCGGTCCCACAGGCGACGCAGACCCCACCGCAGCCAACCGTCTGAGGGAACGGGGAGGGGGAGAGGGGGTCAGTTAGCTGGGGTGACCAGATTATCTTACACTCCAGAGTACTGGTGTGACCAGAGAGGCGCAATGATAGCAAGATTATTATTTTCCATGCTTAAAGGTAGTGTGCCACCTTTGAAAGATTTCCCATTTTATTTTCCCTAGGATAAGAAGCTTCTGTTTTTACCTAATATCGCAAAGAAAATCAAAAATGGGCCTGGAATAGTGCCTTTTTCGCCTAAAAGTTTATCGGTTTTTCGATATGTATAACAACTGTAGTGGGCTGACCTGCAAACAGGCGTCGGCAACAATCGCGAATGCGGCGCACATGTGACAATAAGCAAAGGTCATTATAGAGTTACGACGTACGGGAATGAGTTATCAGCTGTCTAATCGTAGACAACACAATGTCGAGCCTTAAACTGTAAGCCTGTATTGGTATTGTTTCTTTTATTTGGCTGTCGAACATTATTTATGGTTTGAAATATGATTTTATGTAAAATAATTGATATGAAAAAGCCGTCTCTTAACCCTAGAACGCCTAGGGGGGGGGGTTGTATCAACCCCCCCCCCCCTGAGGTTTTTTCGAAGTGCACGCTAAACGGCTTGTCGTAGCGGGCTGAAATTTTCAATGCCCTCTGGGGCAACCTTTGCGCATCTTTTGCCGAAAAAAATTGATCGGGTCATGTCAGGTCACGGAGTTATGACGTCATAAGAGGTACAGCCTCCGGCCGACAGTTACCAAACGTGTGCGCCGAATCCCGAGGTTTTCTGCCGGTGATACCCACATTGTTTGATGGATCATGATGAAACTTCCCATGCATGTTGGGGCAAGCATTGGCTATTGTGTGGTGCAAGAAAATTGACCGGGTCAGGTCAGGTCACGGAGTTATGACGTCATAAGAGGAACAGCGTCCGGTACTATTTTTGAAAAGCGCCCGAACCACTATTTTGCTAATTCTTGTCACCTCAATGGGAATATGCAGCAATATTAGCTTCTATAGGGAGCAAATGGACCTCCCAAATCCGAAAATACAATCAGATTTCAAAAATTTAAATTTTGATTTTTCGAATTTCTGCCGCCGACTGTGACCTTGCCGACTTCCGGCGCTCCCAACGCGCCATTTTTAGAGCTAGGGAAACGAAATACATACCAAACGATAGAGAATTGATCAAGGAACACGATAGTGAAGGTTTCAAGTCGATATCTCTCACCGTTTTGCCGCAATCGCCGCGGAAAGTTGAAAAAAGTCTATTTTTCCGAAAATTTGACCTTTGACCGGTCAAAAGTAGGTCAAATGTTGACCTAGGACCAAAAAATATACCACCAATCGCGAGATCTCGTTGAGAGCAATCCGTTGGTTTTTTCCGCTAAGCTCTACGACCTTCCGTTTCGAAACGCCAGGGGGGGGGGTCGTAACAACCCCCCCCCCCCCCGGTTCTGCGACACCTGAGCGAACGTCATTTCAGCGAACGACATTTGAGCGAAACATTTTCAGCGATTATCAATTTAAGCGATTGACTTTTTCAGCGATTGTCAAGTCGGCGAATTCAATCACAGCGATTATCAACTTTAGCGAGGACCAGAATCAGCGAAACCAGATTGAGCGAATATATGGTGGTCAGTGGGAGACCAATTGAGCGATGCAGTTACAGCGAATGACCGAACGCGACGAAAGTCAATCATTTGCTACTTTTCGGAAATTATTGCACCTCTTTACGCATCATTTGAATTTTGAAGACACATATGTACATCGGACGACCAACAAGGGGTGCATGGGAGGGGAAGGAGGCGGGCAAAATTTGAATTGAAAATGTGGAACGTGAGAGATAGGGCGACGGAAGGAATGCCAAGGACCAATAATAAACTAGAGAGATGGCACAGGGGAATCCAGTCTGTTTCAGGGACCTCACCCAAATATCTGGAAATTTGTACGGTGCTTGGGGGAAGAACACATTTTACAACATGGGGAACTGATCCAAATTCAAGCGGGGCAATTTCGCGAAAAAAAGCACAAGCAATATTGATTTCTGAACAAACGTTTGGTCACCATTATTGACAAAGAGCAGGGTGGGGTAGAGGGGGGGGGGGTGAAATTGAACCGTTGGAATTTTTGACAAATGTAGCATTAAATTTGGAGCTCAATGTCTGACCTTTGAACGCACGACATCCGCCATCCAGTTCCGGATAACCATGGGAAATTCCGGAAACATTCGTACGCATACGCTCACAAAAGAAAAAAATCAAAATCACCGTTACAGGACGATGAAATGTTTCGCTGAACTGACAGTCGCTCAAATTGTAGTCGACGAAATAGATGTCGCTGAAACATAGCTTTCGCTAAAATTGATAATCGCTATATTTGATAATCGATGAACTGGATAATCGCTGAATTGCCATTCGCTGAAAATGGTTCGCTCAAATGACGTTCGCTCAAATGACACTCGCTAAAGTCGCTCGCACCGCCCCCCCCCCCCCTGGTCGTTCGTGTTATGAGAAATGGCCTGGTCGTGCGAGGGTTAAGTTATGACCCCATTTCACCACACGCAAGTGGCAGAAATGACAATGATCAGCTGACGCATTTTTCTTGGCCGAAGTCAGAGCGCGCGGCCCGACGCACCACCACCGCACCACAAAGTATGAGCAGAAGCCACGCCCAAAGCCAGGGCCCCGGTAACGTGAGGTAGCCGAGTCGGGGCAGCGTGCGCTGACCCAAGCCGGGGCCGCAGCTTTGGGCGCGGTCTACCGCATCCCCGCGGGCAGCCCCGGGCTATCACATGACACCGGGAGGACGCGCGGCCCCGGCTTGGGTCAGCGCACGCTGCCCCGACTCGGCTACCTCGCGTTACCGGGGCCCTGGCTTTGGGCGCGGTCTACCGCACCACCTAACAGGCGTGTTCGAAACCGCAGGAGATGATGATGAACGGGTTTATCGAAACTTGATTGGATGAGCATATCGGTAATAGCGATTTCAGTGTGTGCATTTATTGTTCATAGTGGTGTGAAATGTGGTTGGGGTACGACCGACAACCCGTCGGGGCGAATTTCGCACTGGGGTACTCAAAATTTGAAGAATTGAAGACGTTTCCATGAGTTTTGAAGGTATGGATAAGTTCTAAAAATCCGGTTCTCCTTATCTGGGCCATTAACTCCATACGGTCCAGGAAAGCTGGCACACTACCTTTAACCAGTCTCCCCTTAAGTCTGTTTCAGCGTTTACATTATTCTAATCTTGATCTTCCTAATCCAGACGATCACAAACCGGCAAAAATCAAGAGACCGCACGCCTTTCCACACCACACCACCCCTACTCCTATCAATTGAACAACATGGGTTGCTAGTGGATAAACAGAACGAGTTACTCACAGATGAGCAGGATGAGCGCGATGAGTGGACAGATGAGTCCACCCACCACCACCGCCGCTACCGGCTGGAGCACGCCCAACACGCCTGGTGGAAAACCAGCAGAGCTTCGTCAGAATACAACACAAATGTCGGAAACATTTCAAAGGAACTTCCATTTTAAAGACGTGCTTCCAATAATTGTTCGATCGGTATGACGATCACTATATACGATCTTAGCTGGTAGGTTAGCTGAAAACCAACCACGCTATATTTTGGCCGACTTGTGGCAGCATCCATGCCAGGAAAGTGCTATCCTTAGAACCCCTCCAGATCCTAAGACCGCGCGTGTGTTCGTACCGATGTTCCAGAGCAGTGCCTCGAGGACGACACACCATCGGTTTCTGTCTGGCGCCGGGGAGTCGAGGTCGTACCCACACACCATGAACAGGTGGAACAGCAGCACGGCCACCGGCACCCTGTAATTGAGGGGGGAAGGGGGGGGGGGTTAGTTAGAGGACAGGTTAAGCACTGCGACAGGTAGCCTGCGCACATGATGCACGGTCAGTAAGAGGTCAGGTCATCAATTGCTTTCTTTCAAGCTTTCTTCTAGCCAAATTCAAACTTAGTTTCTTCTCTCCCTCTCGCTACCCTACCCTATTCTCTTCTCAATCTTTCTCTCTTTTCTGTTACCTCCACCCTAATTCTCCAAAATCTCATTTCATTCTTACTTCCACCTTTTCTATTCCCTGTCCCCTCTTCCCTACACCCTCCTTTCACATCACTTTCTGATTACACTTATCCGTCCCTTCGTCCGTCCGTCCCTCCCTCTCCTCTCTCACCAGATTGGCACTGCTGCGGCCAGCAGAAGACTAGTCAGCGACACGGCCAGGCAGGCGGCTGGGAACAGCAGCACCAGCAGCAGGGTACCGAGCACACCCTTCAGCGCGTAGTTCCACAGCCGGTTCAGGTGGCGCGTCATGTCCTTGCCGATAAAACCTAAGGACGAGGAAACGGGGTAAGATTAAGATAGACTATAAGAGAGATAGCAATACGAGATTGAGCTCAGTGATACATGAGGTGAGCAGCTGTCAAAGTCACCCTTCACTGTCACTACTCAGACTGTATGCAAACATTTTTTTTTTTTAAATAAATTTAGTCCGAACCTTTTTATAGGAAGGATTCACAAGGATAGAGCCATCGCTAAGCGAAGCTTGTTGCGGTGACCCTGTCCTCTACCCTCCGATCGCGCAATTCCGGTTCTATGGCAGAATTTAGAGTCCAAAGTTTAACGTGCGCACACAGCCACGCACCGCCGGTCCCGGCCTCACTGACTTCACCTGGCTACGGCCTGCCACCAACCGCAACCATACCTGTCAGGAGGCCCATAAATGTCAAGCGTCCGTCGCGCTTCGAACCCGGTCTGTTGTAACCAGGAACGCGTACTCTCACCACGCGGAGTCCAACGCTCTACCGACTGAGCTAAGGGATCGGCTCAGTCGGAACATTGGATCAGCAAGTATTTTTTTTTCTGTTGAAGAGCTCTCGTCCTGTCGCAAGCTCACTGCGTCAGCACTCACAATCGCGAGTGTCAACATAAGTCCTACCTGAATCCCAGCTAAGTCAAGCACACCCTGCCCCAGGTCCCACCCCACTCCCTCGCAATTCTCGGGTTCCTGTGCCGGCTTCTCACCGGTGTCGGGGCTGGTCTCAAACTCTGTCCGGCTCTTGGAGATGTGTCTCCACAGCGACAGAAGCCGAGAGGTCAGAGTCGGCGTCAGGGATGACCTGTGGAGGTCACAGAGGGGTCAGTGTCTCCACAGCGACAGAAGTCGGGAGGTCAGGGTCGGCGTCAGGGACGACCTGTGGAAAAAGATCACGCGGTCAGCTTAAGTAAGAATAACACAGCATTCATTGCGATCTAACATTACCTAAGTTGCCATCTCCAAACCACAAACTTCTTCTTTCCTGACTCAGCTCTGCGTCAGCTCTGCGCCATAACCGGTCATTTAGATAAAACTTTATGATACAACATACCCAACCAACATTGCCTAACCTACCTCATAGAGCAGAGTAGCGCTCTGACGCTAACCTACCTCCTGGGAAAGAGTATAACGCTCTGACGCTAACCTACCTTCTGGGGCAGAGTATAACGCTCAGACGCTAACCTACCTTCTGGGGCAGAGTGTCCCGTTGACCTGCGACAGCTCCAGATCCGGAGTGAAGGGTTGGACACAGAGTAGCGCCCTCAGACTCAGCGGCGAGCTCCATGGAATCACCACCTGCGAAAGACGGGAGCGAGAAGCGTACAAATTAGTGAATGTATCTTACTGATTACATTTGCTCTGATGAAAAGAAGTGAGCACGCATATAGAGAATAGATAAAGCTCGATACACGAATTACAGAATAACACGAGCATAACATCATCGAAATCGAGAGTTCGCAATGACAAAAAAATAGGGTAAGCCGCTGAGACCTACCCCGAGCATGTAGAGGCCGTTGGATCCCCAGCTCCAGAGCCGGTGCAGGAAGTTGTTCCACCGCCAGAAGAGCCACCTGGTGGTGGTGGAGCGAACCACTTCCTTCTCCAGAATGAACACAGGCTGAGGGAAGACAGGAGCATCGTGAGTAAGGACAAAGATCGTTACAACCTTATCCATATCGCATTATACCTGAAACCAGTGTCATCATCCCAATATATTGATAACCTCATCCCCTTCATTTCAGCGCACGCCGAATGCAACCACTTACGGAAAAACGAGGATGTGAGAAAGGAGCTATCATTCCGTAGTGCTATGCCCTGCTGAGGCAATTACGCAAACCGGCGAAGCGCCGCCCAACAAATCCACCTCACTGGCTAGTCTGGGGTCCCTCCCTCCCGCTCCCTCTCTCTTTGATTCTTTGTCACCCTTACCTCGTTGGCGTTGTTGCGCGGGTTGGTGATGCTGGTCGGCGTCTGTGATATCACGGTAGGGATCGTCTTGCTGTCACCCTGTGGGTCGAAAAGGAGCCATTACATTCCGTTCCATTACACATGCCGTATCCATTATCCACACATTATTAAATTTGCAGGTTATAATTATCTTCTGAATAGCTAATCAACGGATAAGACAAATATGCCCATTGTTTACATTTACATACTGCTTCTATTGCTTCACTTCGCCGATAAGTGAAACATATGTGAATGGAATTCAAACTCATTGCCCTAAAATATGTCATATTTCCCAATATGTCAACTGAGACAATATGTCAAATTGTTGTGTCATTTTACATTTGTTCTTACGTCAACGTTAATTACTGTCAATTATCATCAGACCATATGCTTTTCGCTACAAAACAGCAGTCTTTCCTAATTCACCCTACCTGGTACCGAATTATCCAGCTCAAACTGACCTGAAATCGCCGGTGAACGGTCCAGTTGGCCCAGAGCCAGATGTGCGTTCGCCACTCAAACTGCCGGGTGGGTGTGGTCACCCGACGGAGCTCCTTCTGAAGCACCGGTTCCCTCTGAGGGAAGGTTAAAATCGTTAAGAAGAGAGGGGAAGTTCAGACTCGAGGGGAAAATATTAAAGGTAGGCTAAAATTGGCGTGGAGAAAAACAGGATTGACCAGATTGGTTTAGACAAAAGGCAGCAGAATATAATATAGATAAAATGTGCACTGACACTAGGGAGAGTGCGGACTGGCCAAGCATCAGGCACCGCTGAGCTGCAGGCTCTCAGCAATACCCATTCCAACATCCATGGCCGAGTACTCAGCCGATTTACGACTTTGTCACACATTTGAAAACCAAGACCCTCCGAACCGTACTTTTAGACATGAACTTGTATCTGTGCATCGCGGTCCCGTGGCATCACATACCTCCTTCATGAATGTGAGGTCCCTCTGGAGGAAGTAGGCGGTCTGTTGCAGACCACTCTCCCGACACAGGGTCAGGGCCTCCTCGTGGGCCGCCCACTGGTGCTCCGAGATGAACCGGCTCTGTAAAAGGCCAAAACACAGTGAAAGACACATAACACATAGCCAGGGCCACACGTGACAGTCATATAAACACAAACTAGTGTGGGGTGCCTACCAAGAGTAGTGTTTAACAATGAAAAAGTATAGAGACGCAAAGCACAATCGAAGACATCAGTTAGGTTCAGATACACTAGACGTAATCATAGAGGGCACACAGTCAAGTGCAGTAATTACAGAGATATGACACAATACAGTCAGGGATCCAAAAAGAAATCGGGGAAGGCCCACCGGCGTTAAACTGAGTTTGTACAAGCCGGGACAGACTCGTAACCAAACGTGCCGCCAAACGAATTTTTTACTGGCAACTCCATCTAATATCAAATAGCCTAAAACACATAAACTATCCACTGGCACATAATTATCTCAAACAACCCCGTCCCCCGTACTGACCTCGGCCTCCCTGAACTGGAGTCGGACCCAGGCGGGGATGCGGCACTTGACCGGGTGGTGGGTCTCCAGGTAGTGTTTCAGGCCGCGCTGAAAGCTGTCCAACTTCCGAGCCACGTTCTCCACCGCCCTGCCGCGCGGAGAGAGAGAGAGAGAGGGGTAAGAGTTGGGTCATAGCGGGGTCAGGGGTCGGGATGGGGCTACTAAGGGGTTACGACAGGATCACATAGGAGCAGGAGGGTTTAAGGAACGTTGGAAGAAAGTGCGGCCACCGGGGACTGAAAAGCCAAGAGCAGCCGAGCATAATCATACATTTTGAGAACAAACTATTGTGGGGCATTTTTGCGAAAATAAAAATTACGCGAGTGTCAAAATATATGACAAAGAACTAAGAAAACGTTGAAAAGCATATGCAAAGACAAAACAAAGCCGAAATTAAAGGAGGCACGCAATCCCGACCCCAAAGGTGCTACCAAACCCCAACTTTCCCGCTTTGAGAACTCCCTGGTGTGAAATCTCCCCCTCTCTCACTAACCTGTGCATGAGTACCCTGCTCTGTGCGTTTTCTGCCAGCAGTCTGCTGACCCCCTCCTCCAGCTGGGACAGCTCCTCACTGGCGTACACGGCGTCCAGTACCCGCCGCAGGTACTCGTCCTGTACCGCGCGGTTAGCACTCTGTGGGGAGAGGGGACGGGTCATATAGGTACAGTACCCGCCGGAGGTACTCGTCTTGTACCGCCCGGTTGGCACTCTGTGGGGAGGGCAGGGGTCATATACAGCACCCGCCGCAGGTACTCGTCCTGTACCGCACGGTTGGCGTTCTGAGGGGAGGGGAGAAGAGGGTGAGAGATTATGAATTGCAGAGCTGATGAACATTGAAACATTAATGTTTAAATGCCCCATGGAATAAATACCACACATTGCGCTGTTACAAAACGACGTGAGTTGTTATCATATTTCAAGAGAATTGGAAAATAGCTTGGCACTATACTTGTGGGCATTGCAGATACTCTAATTTCTTTCACCTGAATTAAAAGAAGCAGTCAAGGGCACCACAATCTATTCCCTTATTTTCAAACACTTCTGACCCTCTTCCACCCCCGCCTCACCGCCTGGATCTGTTCATCGCTCAGCTCCTGGCCTTTGAGCTCCGTGATGACGCGCTCCCGAAATGGCGCCAACCAGCCGCGCGCCTCCCGCTCCAGAATGGCGCTCAGTACCGGTACGGCGCGACGCATCACCTCCCTGAAAAAGACGAGAAGGGGAAGGCCGGTCACGTGAGATAAGGGTTGGGAACCAGGTGAAGTCACGTGGTATTAACTAAAGGACAAGGAGATAAACGCATGATTCGGTATTGAGATATTTAACAAGCCGGGTGGTCATCATTGCTGACTGCGCTTCTCTAATATCTACAGACTACACAGTAGCAGCTCTGCTGGTCGTATGTTATAACTGCCAGCACACACACACACGTGTCCAGTGCCCATTCACCTGTTGAAGAGTCGCAGGTCGACAGTCAGCCCGTGCAGAGTGTGGAAGGTGTATATAAGCGGCGGCCGGTCCTGTTCGGAGGGGCGGTACTTCTCCAGTCGGAGACGGGCCAGCTGACGGCGCATGTAGGCGCACAGCTCCTCCAGAGCCGCCTCCTGGTCCGGCTGGGGGGGGGGGGGAGGGTCAAAGGGGTCATGTAGGCACACAGCTCCTCCACAGCCGCCTCCTGGACCGGCTGGATCCATAACCGTCTCTTGTTGCAGAGGGCTAGAGAAATATTGTACTAAGACCCTTCATGACATGAACTTGATGGTGTCTGCGTCTGTAACAATTCAAAAGAATACCCAAAATACATCAACAGAAAAAGGTCAGCGGGGTCGGCGGCCACGGGCTTAACTCAGTCCATTATCCAATATCGGTCCCGAATTAATATGAACCGAATATTTTTCGTGGATCACACTGTGAACAATAGTTTTGGTCGCGATAAATATCGTACCTTGCAGACCAGCTCGGTCACCAGGTACTTGCACCGCTCCTCCATCAGTTTTGAGTCGAGGTTACAGCTCTTGGTGGAGGGAAAGCCCAGTAACACGTCTGAAAAAAATAACGCTTAGCCAAAAGGCCGAGAAGTGAAGACATTGGGAAGCTGAGATGTCAACCGGGCATTAACTTTTTTCTATTTTTTATTTCTATCTTTTTGATATATTAGAGATGGTTAAGACGAAGATCAAGATTGCTTCAGGAATAATGGTCCCATAAATATTACCCAATCCTTCAGATCAGTAGCCAAATATAACAGTAACACGCTCCTTAGTGTATCGTTATCCTAGTAAATCTTCTTAGAGACCAGTGCTCTGAAGGTAACACTACGTAAGTGCAGAGTACCGATCATACAACGCCAACTTAACTTACCGAGAAGAAGCGTCAGACCCCGCAGAAGCGACTTCAAACACCGCCGGAGTGAAAAGAAATGTGAGCCGATCCGACCCCGTGCGGTGATGATGAGAAACCTGCCGCGGACGGTTATAAGGACGGGTTAGTTATATGCACTACGAAGCCCCGAGTTGACGTGATTAAACACCATTCAATAATTCGACTTTTTGTGATTTGAAAGACTCAGTCCTCCACAGTTTCCATTTTGTTCGACCATCGCTCAACTTGGTACTCACCTCAACTGGTGAGACCTGTTCCTTTTGAGTAAGAGCGTTACAGTTGTGTCTCATCTGGGTGAGACCCAGCTCACCGAGGTGAAAGTGCTAGGAACTCCCCCCACCCGATTTAAAGCACCAAAACCTCTCACACCGAGTTACAGAATACTCTCACCTCACCCGAGTTGGAGTGTTCTCTGACCTGAGTGAGATTTGTTTGTTTGTTTTGTTGGGTTTGGCCCTTTCGGTCCAATGAGACCATTTCAGAGCCGGGAGGATGATAGGATATAGGGGGAGACATTGGTCTGGGCAGGCATCCTAGTGAGTCATCGGGGCTGAGCCCGTCCAGAGGACAGGCCACCCAGCCCCAAGGCACTCACTGCACCCGGCTACGGGGTGCACTCCCTCGGGAGCAGCGGTGCCGCTCCAAGGGAGCAGCCCGCATGAGATAAAGTTGCCTGTCCAGCCCGGAGGTGGGTTGCGGCGTGGAGGAGAAGGATTTCAGTATCCTGAGGATAGAAGCACGGATCGGTGAATCACCTGAGTGACAGCGCCAGGTCGTCCTGGTAGGTGATGAAGGACCGCTCTGTTCCCTTCTGGAGGAGCTCAGAGAGGCGCCACCGGTGCACCTGGCCGGTGAAGTTCAGAGACTCCACCTCGAACTCGCTGACAGGGGCAGGTCAGGTCAGACACGGGTCAGTGAGGTCGAATACAGGTCACGGAGGTTACACACCGGATACAGAGGGCAGTCTGAGGCCAGGCAGGGGTCATGGGAGGTCACCAGTCAAAAGGGAGTAAGGGCATATCAATCATTAGCAAATAATGTCGCAGAATTGGAGGGTTAGAAACGAAGAAATAGCGCACAATGTGCTGAGAGATCGCCAATTAAGAGCATTATTTATTTAAAACGACGGTTGAGGTGACGAATTAAAACCAACGACTACGAGCATCGTCACAGTGATTTTATAGAAAACCTGCAATCTTATTAAACAATTGCAGCAACGGGCAACAAAGCCCACTTCAGAAACTGCGACATATAAGAACAATGAATCTGGCGCATGAGAAGCCAGGCTATAACTTACTCACATAGAGCACACTTGTTTGATGCAATGGACCAAGGCAATACTAACAAACAGCGTTTAATTGCGCAAAGCGCTCTCATCACATCAGTCCAGCATCTCGATTCACAGCCTCGATGCTCGATGCTCACTCCATCAAAAACATGATTAATTACAGCATATGGGTGACGTAAAAAATATATGTATCAAATCATACTCAGGCACAAAGATACGAGACAACAGCACACTGCAGAGTGCAGAGGGTAAAACTAAAAACGTCCGAAAACACAATAGGTGATCACACTCAAAACATGTCTTGGTTTACAATGGATCTCAAACAACTTGCAACCACACTTCATAAACGCCGAATGGAAGCAGCTGGTCCGTCAAAATTTACATTTTGGGGATTATGAAGCGCCGCCTTCTTTTCTATCCAGTTTCATTTCCAGTGCCAGCTTTGCATGCAAGAACACAGTACGAAAAGTATGATACACGTGCACAAAAAAGGAAATCGTAATGACGAAAAAGCAATTATGCTAGCGCCTCGCCATAACAAAGCAATTAGTTACATGCTTTTGATCCATGCTGTTAATGTCGTACAGAACAAGCACAAAAACATTCCGTGGGGTTCAGAGCCGTTTGGCCTTGACCTTGAAAACCACGTGACTTTGAGCTTTGAAAAGTACGTGACATTGACCTACCCTCGTCGTCGAATCGAGCGAAGCTGGTGCGTTGAAAGGCGGCGACGGGGCAAAGCCTTGGCCTTGCTGCAGCTGCTGCAGCGCCACAGCACGCACACCATCCCAACTGTTAGTTACCGCCACCGACCAGAGACAGCAGCACCGGCAGCAGCCCCACCATGCCAGGCAAATGTCTCGGCTTTTGGGACCCATGAGCGATTGGCACAAAGCCCCCTAGTAAGCCGAACGTAAGCAAAGCGTAGCCAGATGGTAGGATTATAAGCGAGAATGACGATTCAGAATTTGACTGGGCAAGTCGTATTTATTATGGTAGTTTACATAAATGTTGCCTACAGCAATAAAAAAGCTTCAAAAAATAAATAGCTTGATGGCATTTCCGCAGACATATTGGGTCTGTAATGCCAATGTATGAGTGAACTTCTAATGGTCCTGGAAATAAAGCTAGACGGTTGATCCTGAGCGAGATTACTGAGAGAAAATGTCACCGGAAAATACCATATCATGGGCAAGTTTCAAAACGCCAAGTGGCCACTTCAGCAACCCAATGGCTGGTCAATTTAGGCCCGATGGTATTACCAGGATTTCAAAAGACAATATGGGCCGCTGGAGAACACATTTGCTCTCATTGAAATTGCATCAAACTAGGATGGCAATTGTTTCCAAAGCATCAAAATACACTATTACGAAAAGTTAGTGTGTGAACTGATAGACGAGTGCGTAAACTAACTAACAGATACAGAGAGCAATAGACCAAACACGCGCACACAAAGTATGACCCATAACGTCCAGCAGTATCCCCTCCAAATCCTCTAAACCCAGCATTCGGTAGTCAAAAACGCCGACTGCTAAACACTCAGATCGGCCCACACCATCTGAACTCAGCTCCGGTCAGGTAACACCAGGGTCAGGTCACCAGCCATATTGCGTCACAGGTCAGGTCAGCTCAGGTCAGGTAAGACCGAAGGAGGGTCAGGTCATGGCAGTCAGAGCACCAGACAGATCAGGTCACAAGTCAAAGGTCAGATCGGGCCAGCTGAGATCATTGTCAGATCAGGTCAATTATCGGGTTTAGTCGGAGACCAGACCATACGTAAGGTCACGGACTAGGTCGCGGGTCAAATCACAGGACAGGTCACGGGCCAGGTCAGGTCACTCACCCAGTCTCCCGGACCGAGGCCAGCTGTTTTCCGCTGAGTTTGCGCGGCTCCCCGCCCGAGTCGAGGGCCACCGCCTCCAGCTCATCGAAACACGGCGCCACAAACAGATCCCTGGGGGACAAACACGTGGGGATCAATTCACAAACAGGAAGTAACAAACACGGCGCAACAAACATGTCCTTGGGGGAACAAAACGAGGGGATAGTACAGAAAACATGGGGCCAAAACACATCCCTGTAGCAAACACATGGTAATTACTACAGAAACGGGCATAACAAATAAATTATTGTTGACAAATGCGTGGGATCGGCTTAAAAACGCGAAAATAAAACGGGAAAACTTGTAACATGAGCTTGTATTACCAATAAAACGCAAGCAGATACTAAGGAATACTCAAATATGCGCAGTATTGAAGACTGATGGTATTTCCTGAAAAGCTTGCGTGACCTATACATTTGGCCTTTGGAAGTCTCTCTTGTACAAGAATGAAGCAAATATTCGCATCCGAAGATAACGGGATCCTGCTTTGCGTCGCAACACGTGCATTCTATCTCAAAAACCCATTATGACGAGTCACGAGACCATCGAGGCGGCGTCTCTATGCCATAGCAAACGAACAACAATACCCAAATCATAGCCAGCAAACAACAATCACCATCAAGAGATTACCAACAAGAACAGCCGCCCCTCACCTGATGATGATGGGTTTCCGTCGCGCCAGGGAAGACGAGTCGACATCTCGATGTTGAACGGCGACAGGAGGAGGGAGTATCAGGGGAAACGTCCTCCAGTGGTATAGCGAATCCTCGGCCACCTGACAACATGGGGAACGGCGGGGTCGGGGGAACGTCCTACAGTGGTAGGGAGAGCTTCAACCACCTCACAACATGAGGAACAGCAGGGTCAGGGGAACGTCCTTACATTGGCAGCTTACATTGGCAGGGACTGCCAATGTAAGGACGGGGGCTGCCAATTTCCGTCTATACCTACTGGGCGGAAACTTCTTCTTTACGATGGCTCGTCCTCAGATACCTGTTGTTGTTTGAAGTATTTGTACCCAATAACTCGGCAAAAGGCTGAAATGACGACCAATGCCAGACAAATTCGTGGAATTCATACCCTGTATAAAAAAAAAACTAGGGCTCAACGCAGCAAAACCTGCAGCTCTGTGCCCAACAGGCCGTGAATATCAATCCGGCAGCTCTACCGTTTTACCCGCCCGCCGCCACTGTGGTCCATCGATCCTACTCTCAGCGGGGGCGGGGGAAGCAGGGGGGGGGGGCGGAACCGTCGGTTTTGCTCCACGCCCAGAGCAATTCCACCCACCACCACAACACGCGCGCAAACACGCACACCCAAACATGCTGATATGAAATGGAAGTGAAATGAAACCACCCATATAAAAACTGGCAGCTGGACAGGCAGGCCTACAGTCGTGAAATACTCGCGTTTGCATGAAACTTGCACTCTGTATTAACTTTTAAACAACTTCACTTCTACGTGAGTGTCATAGTGTCATTAATTTGTCATAACCCATCCCACGATACCAACAACAGCTGTGTTGCTTTGTATAATGCGTATCCGGGCAATTAATGGCTCGTTCGTTGTCCTCACAGCCAATGCCCTATATAGCACGTCCCATTCAGCCGCACTAGACCGAACAAAAACATCCCACAAAAAAAAACAATCGAGCAACAACGAACGCAACTAGCAACTACAGAACACAATGGCACCAAAGGCGGGCTGACGTCATTCCAGGGACACACGTGACGTCACTGATGGGACGATGACGTCACGACAGACCCAGTGACCCGGAGAGGAGTCAGCTGGCGGTCGTCCCAGGGGGACGGGGGAGGGGTGCGGGGGATCCGCCCTCCTAGCCAACACAGGCTCTGGCGCTGCGATAGCGTGTGGCGTGGAATTCTCTGTAGTTGAGCCAAACTGGGAGGGAATGGCCCTGAGAAGGCTGTCTGCGCTTAGTGCGAGCTTCCGGTGTGCTCTGGTTGCCAGGCTGGGTTTATGAGACTAGAGAGCACAACATGGGAGCTTAGAAGTCATGCTGAATTACAACGAGGTTTAGTCCAGAGCCGCCACGGCTGTTTTGGCATCAAAAATAAAAGATCAAAGGTAAGTAACTGAGAATCGATCGGAGAGTATTTGCATATATCGCAAATGCGAAAACACACATGACTTCAAGGCTCCCCAACATGTCCAGCAAAACTGTGCCCCTGAACAGCAGTCATTAGAAATCTTGTAAGTCAGACGTGGTATGCGCTACGAGTTTCACTACTGATAGCTAGGTTGAGTCCTTAGTAATCATGGGATGGACAGTTAATCACTCACCTCCTGAATGTGTTTGACCAGCCGGAGCTCGGCGCTGCTCAGACCCTCGGTGGGAATCTCGAACTTCACCGGCTCCCGCTGAAAACACACGTCAGGTCAGGTCAACGGGGGGTCGGTGGGATAAGTGAGGTCCACGTGAAGAATTGCAAAAAAAATGTCGAAAATGACGCAGGACCAAAATATCATTTCCAGCTTCCGAAGAAGTAATAATAAATCCACTTTCTCCTGACCGTGTGCCCATAATCAGCACGGAACGATCGCATCTCAGATCCGCAATTTGGCTATTTCAGGAGACCCATGAGCTCCTGAAATTCTTTGAAAATGAGCTCCTGAAATAACATAGCAATCTCATCGATACCGAGCGTAAGACCCACCCGTGGCATGTGGGGTGTAGATTCCATACAATGTGAACCCGGAAATCGGGGCGAACTACTCTGCTGAATCTACCGTAATTAAACCTGAGGACAGCTCGTTAAACCCATGTGTCTGGATCAGGAATTGTCACAAGGTAATAGGTATTGATTTTACGAACATGACAAGTCAATTCCGGTGTCTCAGCGTCTGGTCGTGCTTGGTAGGCGCTTAGTGCTCGGGGCATTGCGTGATGCCGCTTCATCAAAGGCAGGCGAAATGGCAGAGCGGTTGATGGCGCCTCGTTAACGTGATGTGAGAACTGAGAATGGTTCAGAAGATTGTATGGATACGGTTTTGAAGAATGACACCATTAGCAAAGAATACTGATGTGAATATGTTTGAGAAGTTTATTTTTCAAATGCATCAGTGAGCTAATGAGCGATGCCTATTAAATATCTATTGGATAATCAACGATGCTTAAAAAGTTACGATAGCGAAAAAGGATATCTGAAAGACATTTAACAATTACTTAAATAACACCCTTACAGTACAAGCACAAACATTCAATATCTTGTGTCGTGTTTGTATCTTGTGTCGTGAGTGTCGTCCAGGCTCCCAACTAACCTCAGTCAGTGTCTGGATGATGCCGCTCGACATGACGACTGGTTGTGTCACGGACAGCTGATGACGTCACTCCTCGTCACACCGGTGACGTCACCACTCCGAACGGTGTGACGTCACCGGCACGCTGACGGCGTCATCTGACGAGAGAGTTGAGTACGATCGTGGGACGGTAACCGTGTTCACTTTTAGCTCCGTCTACCGCGGCGCGCTCTCAGGGTTGGAGGACTGTCAGGGCGACCACCGCCCAGTGTCACTGAGTCACTGCGCATAGGTCACTGCGCCACACACAGGTGACCGGTCACCGCAGGTCACATGATCACCAGGTCACGTATCACACTTCTTCCGCCTTCCTCCGCCCTCTCCGTCGCCTTTCGCTGGTTCCCTTTTTATTTCCTGTCACTTATCCGCTTCCACTTTCTCGCCAATCTGGCCTTTCCTCCGCCTTTCCTCTTGTTCGCTGCCTTATCTTCTGACTTTTCCGCTTGTTCCGCCTTGTCTACCGCCTCCGTCGCCGTCAGCTGTCTCCGGCGACCCGGTCTGTGGGCCCGCGTCAAGGTCGGGTCAGTACCGCCGGCCACAGACGTTAGGCGATCAATGGGTGGCGGTCCGGCGGCGGCGCGAGCCTGTCGCCGGGCACAACACCGCCGCTAGACACGATAGGAAGGGGAATTTGGTGGTGTTACTAGCGGGGGTATCGCGAACACTGGGGGATGGGGAGGGGTAGCGGGGAAGGAAGGCAAGGACACACCACCCTAGGGAGGGGGCAAGATAAAATGGGGAGATGGGTGCCGGGGAAGGGAGTTGATGGTGGCACTGGGTGGTAAAGGCCAGGGAATGGCGGACAAGGATTGAGGGACAGGAAGTGAAAGTGAAAATGGGATGCATGATCGAGAAAAAAAGGAAAGAAAAGGTGTACCGAAGTGGTGGTAGATGGTGACGCAAATACTTACAAGGTAGAGCATGTTTTACCCCCAAGTGATCACAAAATAAAAAAGTATAACATCAGCATGAACCGAAACGTCCTTAAAAACACAAGGAAATATCTTTTTAATGCTTAAAACCGATCTCGCCAAATACACGCTGAAAAGGAAACAGTGCGGTAAAAAAAAGCCAGCAATAATAACACCACCCTACAAATTTCATGCGACACCACCCGCCACGCACCCACACAACAGTCGCCAGTCACGGATAATGAATTGCGATAGGGGGAGTGGGATGGGGAAGTCCCGCCCCCGATCGAACAGCCACAATGAGGTGCCGCCGACTGTGACGCAGACACAGTCCGACTCAGACATCGATTCGTATTATAATTAGACACGATGACGGCAGCAGTCGGCATTGTTCTCGATTGGTTGGGGGGGGAGAGGACAGGATTTACAGCGGCTGTGGGAAATAGAGCCGAAAGGAGAGTAGCTTCGTTCAGTGTGCGCGGGTCGTAAAGCATATTTATTGGAATATCGTCAAAAAAAAAAAATACTGATAAAAAGGCGTCAAGATATCAAAGATTCTGGACAATAAGTGATGAACATTGTGGCCTGATTTCCAATTTACAGGGGTGCATCCTACTATAATACAATTAAACGTGCTCCCTCATAAGTCACGACGCGTCAGTTTATTTCCTAACGCTAGATGTCAGCATGAACAACGCCTGGTAGGTAGGCTGTGCCGCAACGACTCATGTTATATTCGTGCCGCTAGATGTCAGCACCGATAAAGCCTGGTGGGTAGGCTGTGCCGCATTGCGTATCAGCGCTTATAAATCTGCCGCTAGATGTCAGCACCGATAACGCCTGGTGGGTAGGCTGTGCCGCAAGACGCCTCAGTTTACGTTCTTGCCGCTAGATGTCAGCACGGACAACGCCTGAATAGTAGACTGTACCGCAAAGCACAAAAACCAAAGACTCAGACAAAGCGGCTGTATCATTCACTTTATCATGCAGATAAAGTCAAAATGGCACACTGCCATCCAAGCTGGCTTACTGAGGACTTGAGAAAAGTTACGCTATGGGTCAGTCACCCAAGCTTCATCAGACAATCGAATCAGACCCTGCTGCCACTCATCAGCTCAGGACTCGGGTGTCAGCCAGGCTCAGCCGTTGTCAAATATTTATCCATCAACGCAGTGTCCCAGCATCGATCGCAGCCAAATTGGTCAGATCAATGAGCACCAGAATTCGAAATAAATCCAGATTATCCAGTTCGAGAAGTCATGTCACGTGAGCCGAACATCCAATAAGGACCTAGCATCGGTCTCAAACGTAGACCGATACGAGCTCCCTGAAGCCTGAAAATGCGTTCTAAACCCGGCCCAAAGCTTCCAGCTCAGTCGTGAAGGTGATAATCGATTGATTTCATCGGTTCCGGGGAGCGGAAAGGCGCGGCACTCAGCGGCCCATGGGCTTTCAAATCATCACCATTGCCATTGGACAATGGACATGCTTACCAGCTGCTCTACATCGTCCGTCAGGATGGACAAAGGCTTGTTTTGCTCAAGCTGTTGCCATGACAGCTCCTGAAAAAAACTGTTTTAGCAAGCGTTGCTTTTCCAATGTCATTCCCATGCATACTGCACTGTACTTCTCGAATGAACAGCTTACAAATATCGGAATATCTAAAACATCTTAGTGCAGTGCAATGGGTAATGAGTTAAATGACGTTTGTTTCCTGAATAATCCACGCCTCTGATAAGGAACGGCGTTGTAACTTGTAGTAAACCGACGTCAAAGTCTCGCACCCGAAATCAATCCAGCAAACTCTGCAGAATACTGAATCTGTTGAAAGTTCACGTTCCCATTCGATTTATCCCCACACCCAGCTCGAAGGCCGTCCCTCCCGGCGCGTCGCCCCGGGGCGGAGATGACGTCACGACTCACGTCTCTCCTATTGGCCCTGTGCCAGGTCACGTGACCGTGGCCGCCGCCAGCCAGCTCTATGGGCCACTGGAGCTTCCCGTGTGGGGGTGCCCGGGGCGCTAGGCTAGGCATGATGTCGGAAATGCTACCATGTCTCCAGACAACATGGTAGCGTCAAATAGCAAGCGAGTCAGATGTGGTTGAACCAGAGTTGAACAGCTGTTAAAGTGCAGCGCATGAGATCACCAATGGAGAAGGTGATATCACGCCACATTATATTGAAGATTCGATTTCAGTCAGTTGAAACGGATAACAGCTGAAGAAACGCACGATGTTCAACAGAAATTTGACTTCAAGAAGCAAATTAAAAGCTTGGCAGACAAGAAAAAAGGGCTTGGACAAACTAATAATGTGCTGATCGATAGATTTCACTACAATTCTGGCGTATTAAGTGCCGGTTTATCTCAAAGTCACTCAAGCTCGCTATTTATGAGCTTGCGTGGAAAGTTCACAGGCAACTTCGTAACCTTTTCAGTCAAGTGCGATGAAAACTGTGATAAATTCAGCGGGAAACAGCCATCTTCATACCCCGCTAGCCTGTAATACCGTAAGAGGAAAACTGAATCAGTGGAATCCATCATCGTTACATAATTCGCGACAGCGCTACTTTATTTATCAGACGTCAGTTTAGTTTCAGAATGTTACCGCGGCTCTGGCGAACTTTATTTTCATCTCCCACTGTATAAGGTTATCGTAGGGATGTTGGATGACATCGTATTTTATCTGAGAGCATTCCCTCCACACCAATAACACATGTCTCATAAACAAAACAGCATCAAGCCACACCACAACACCCGGCGAGGTCGACGCAAAGCTTCGTGATGTCGCTATACCAATTTCTACCAGCACCCAGCATTCGGCAGCCCAAGGCGAGCGTTGAATTAAAATGAAATTAAATAGCAGCCGTGGAGCTCGCTGAAGGCCGCCAGACGACACCAAACACGATAGGACGGATCTAATTACGCTCTAATCCAGACCAGCAGAGCCGCAACAGTATTGCCGCTTGGTTGAGCTATCTCGGTTTAGTTAGCTCGGTCGCTTTACCCATTCTCTTCCCTTCTCTAGATAAGATCCAAGTTACTGTTAACGCCAGACCCCTTGAGACCCTAATTTTTCGCGATTTTTTTTAAATGCGTGGAATAATTTCAACCATATTTAGGAAGTAGCTGTTTCAAGACCTGCCGAAACTTTTTCTTCAAATACATTTTGTCGTCACTTAAATATTTGTGGCACTTGTCATTGACTCGTAATGTTAACTGTTTTTCCATCCTGGATAGAGGCTTTCTACGTCATGACATTAGGCTCCGCCCACGATTGCGGCATTGACCCGTGCCCATCAGCGACCTCTGTACAAACGACACCCCTGTCATCTGTAAAGGACTATGAATTTCGCTGACGCTTCACGTGCTATGAATCAATTGCAGCAGACGGTCAAGTAAATGTTAGCAGTTAGGGTCTTGTTGACCCTTATATATAAGACCAAGAGGACCATCACTCCTCAACCTACTACTCACACGCTTCGAACAAACGTCAACGATTCCTAACAAATACCATTTTCGATGTAGGGTAGGTATCTGTTTGAAATACGAGCGAGCCTTATGATGTGAAGCGAAGGCAATTAACTTAATATTGCGTTGTTCGATGGTTGCATAGCGATGTACAAATCGACAGCTACTTGGTGACATCCGACATCCCATCATCGCATTATCTGCAACGCTATGGGCTTTAAATATAGGTGAATATTTCCTAATCTTATGTCAGTTAGGTATATGCTATCTGCCCGTCATTTGCAGCTTATAAAAAAATGAAACAAATATCAGCGAACATATCAGCATTGTACAAGCAATGCGCATGGAACATTTATGGCTCCTCAGTCATCATGTCGCTCTTTGGGCACTGCCAGACAAGACGTTACGCACAACTCCGCCGGCTTTCGGCACCGCTCGACCGTCCCCGCTCCCCGCCACAGCGAGAGTGACCGCGCGCCGGCCCGAAACCGCCGCAGGCCAAGACCACAGAGGCGGGGCTTAGCTGTGACGTCATAACGTATCACAGACTGACTGGTGATAGCCTCTACACACCGGTTGAAAATCTTGCTCGAGATTTAACATTACGAGTCAATGACAAGTGCCTGAAATATTAAAATGGCGATAAAATATATAAATTGTAAAAGTTTCGGCAGGGCTTGAAACGGCTATGTCTTGAGCTTGGTTGAAATTCTTCCACGCATTTAAAAATAATCGCGAAAAATTAGGGTCTCAAGGGGTCTGCCGTTAACAGTAGATTAGCTCGGTTGGGTGAGCTCAGTCAAACTAGCTCAAATAGGTTGGCTCAAACCAGTAAGCTCTGTTAGGAAAACTCAATTGGGATAGCTTGGAGGGTCTAGTCTTCGGATTACTTTGCTCCAGCCACCTCGGAAAATTAACTCGGTCAGGCTAGCTCGTACGAGATAGCTCAGTCAGGCTAGCTCATCTCACTCAGCCCATCCAACCCCCGTGTGCTGTTATTTGTGCCACGGTCGGGTAGAGACACCGCACCGCGGCCGCAGACACGTCAACACGCAGCCGTCCGTCGGTCGATTGGTAGGGTGTTTGGAGCGACTGAGACGGAGACGGCAGAGGCGGG